CATTTCGACGGTAGCATTTATCGAAATCTGAGGGAATTGTCCTTGTTTATTAACACGTCTTGGCTTTGGGATGATAACCATGGGAACAGCTACATTTTGATTGCATTTGTTGATTAGTTCCAGTTACGACGGATAGCTCAGTCTTTATCCTGTCGAAATTTAATTGTTTGGAATCGGTGGAAAAGTACTCTGAAGTCAAGATCAATAAGACTACTTTATTCATTAGGGGAAGATACTTGAATTATTCACACGGAGTCTGTTTACGATAAACCCCGCAAAATGAGCACGCGATTGCAAATGCTGGCCTAGAATACGTAATTTAAATATTCTATGAAACTTGATAGTCTATAGAAACTGGCAGTGTCACGCGACGTATCAACAAATCGTGACCTCTTCGCTAGCATGGACTTTGACACTATACATATCTGACTGTAAAACCTCAGTTGCTGCTGAAAAATGTTGATTTTAGCAATAGACAAAGGTTGAAAGTCAGCTAGTGAAATCACTTATTTAAGGTATATATATATATAATTATATATTTAAGTGAGAGCGTCGAACGCACTCATAATCTCTGATTACTACTAGTGATTAATTTATAATTGTGCTTGAATGGTATAGTTGTTTGTGTACAGTGTAACTAAATGATATACCTAATGTATGTTAAATATGTTGATTCACAAGGTATTAACTTTGCATCTTCTTTCCTCAGGCTGATTATTGCACAAAAGCATGCCATTACACACATGACTATCTGAATCCAGCTTGTGCCACCATCCCCACCCCTGAAGTGTGTAGTGTACCTACAAACAAAACTGTACCAGCCATCCCTTGTGATCCACTCTGTGGCACAGGTACATGTAATTTGAAAGTTCTTTCTGTAACATATGAAAATACATGTAACAGCAGGATAATCTTAGCTAATTAATTTTAAAGCAAGGTTATTGTAGATAAATTCCTGCTCTTAATTTTGGATTAGAAAAAAATACAAAAAGGTAATTCCAAAATTAGTGGTGCAATATTTATACACTGTAAAGTAAAAAAATCCTTTTTGTCAACTGTAGCAACAGTTTGTATGATAATCCATATTCTCTCCACATCACACAACAGAGAGCAGACATATCATTAATGTCAACCTGTGCGCTAGTATAAGTCAACGTGTGTTTTCACAAAGTTAATGAAAACACACAACATTATGACTGCGATGATCAATCATGTCTAGATATTATAGCACAAACTTGTCAACCTGTTAAAGGTTGGTTCTGTTCAATATCGTAGTAATATGGCTTGAAACTATGTAGTCCCATTTCTGAAACTACGGAAAGTTCTACAGTTTGTGCATGCAGCAAATTTTTGCAAACTTAAGTTCCTTTTAATGGGATTTTTCTTCCAAATTGTGAAATTTATTTAATTCTGGTGAAATTTGTCTCCATTGTCATGAAATTAAGTGATAAGGTGATGTCCTTCTAATTATATTATTTGAAATTAAAATTACAAACTTGAATGTGTGATTCCATAGGGATTTACCACAGTACTGGAAAGTGTTTGTCAAATGGCCGTTGCCTCTGCTGGTGGGGTTGGACTGGCTCAGGAGCCTGCTATGTTGATGGAGGAGCTTATAACAACAGAATCATAGTGAGTGCTGATTTGATTGGGTGGGGTGGCACGGACCCAGCAAAACAAACAAACAAACAAACAAAAAATCCAAAACAAACAAACAAATGAGTACAGATGTGTGGTACTTAAAGCTCCCAATCTTTAACCTTCCATTGTTAGATTTATTAAAAATTATTATTAATTTATACTTGGAGACTGAAAATTAGACATATATAAGAGGTGATATGTAAACAAACCTTTCATATCTGTTGTCTGTCTGTGTGACTTTTTCAATTTAATGTGCCTGTCACAAACTTGAAAAAAAATATTTTACAATAACTGCAGAAATTCTCATGCACTCATGGGCTAATTTTCATTGTCAATAAGCAGACAGACACATAAATGTATAATTTATACGATGTGGCAACAAGAGAGAGTGGACAATTTGACAATTTATTATCATAAAAAACAAATTGACATCAGTTTTTCATGCATCTGCCCTGTTATTGACAATGAACTTTGTTTGCAATCGATCTGTGGATCCACTCAGCCTTTGCCTCGTAGATCCAGAGGTACTTTGACAATGTTATGATGAAATTCATGATCACTAACAGGACAGACGCATAAAAAACTGGTGCCAATTTGTGAAACATACATGTACATGTGATGTGTAGTACTTGTACTGTTTTTATTTACATACACTGCTTGTAGTTGTCTTCAGGAACCATTAAACTTCACAGTCACAATTTCAGATGTTGGCATGTGACATATAGTACTGATCTGTGCTCCACTTGTGACCATCTTGCATTTATAGCTCCAATCTAACATTACAGGCAAAAACTAACGATAGACAAATCC